GAGAGAGAGAGAGAGAGAGAGAACAATTGATGCGGTTGCATGCATATGCTGAACCTTATAACAATATTACTATCGATAACTCACTTGGGAGGATTCTTTTTTTTGGTATGGTATTAGTGAAAAAATGTGGCAATAATAATAACAACAATAATAATAATAGAAGAACAGCAATGATAACAGATACAAGGCTTATTGCATGCGTTGTGATAAACTCAACACAACAACTTGATAATGGAGACTTAATTCGGTTTCATTAAGGCACGCACGCACACACACATTATCATGTAATTATTGTGAATAATATAAAATTCACACTATTATATTTTACGTAATGGTATTTGTGTAATAAAACTACAACACAAAGCATCTAACGCCAAATTCATTTTTATTCAAAACGATTACATTAGAGCGAAAGGTTTTATGATTAATATAATGTAATAATCATATTTCTCAATTAAATCTTTACTCGCCTAATTAATTGATTAATTACATTTTTTAACATTTACATTATTCAGCATTTTCCTCAAAGGTTTCATGAATAAAAAACATCACATACGGCCAGCCAGACAGACATTTTACCTCCACTTTGCCATCTTTGAATCATTCACTGTCAAGATATACCATCAGTATGACGCAAAGTAAAATAGGTAACGAGTTATATAATGATACCATACCATTACAGCGACATACGTACGTACTGGAGTAATAAATGAAAATACAAAATAGCACTGATACAAGAATTTCAATATCTATGCATTGTACATTAGTCATTGATGATGTCATAGCTACGTCATCTCACGTCGTCAAGCTAAACACACACACGCACGCACGCACACACACACCACTTTTAGTTTCTATATCTACGTATCAAAAGCTTCTATGTCTCCCAATAGTGAATGCAAATATGTACACACCCCACACTAAAGATACCGAAAATAATAGCTTCCATTTTATATACTATATTTTATATACTATATTTTATATATTCCATAAACTGTCACTCTATTTCACACAATAAACAAAAGAATAATTTGACAGAATGCCGCCTTTAAAATCGCAATTTTAAAAAAATGCCAAGAACAGCATTCTAGAATGAAATAATTTTAAATTTAAAACTCCATTTTCACATAATACTAATAGCATTAATAAACTATAATTAACTATTACTAATGAATAATAATAGTAGAAATAATCCGTCAGAGATTGTGTCTCTTGTAGGAGAGAAAAGCGGTCGTTTTGACAGCCTCCTTGTCAATCAATCCCTGGTCGGACGTCACCCCGTTATCCACCCCTCCAAACATGAAAATCTCCGACTCGCAATTGGTCAGACTATAGAAGGCTGTCTCCTCCCCGCTAAAACCAAGCCCCAAAACGACCGGCCGCCACTCCACTGAATGATTTTCCAACGCAGAACTGATATCCAGTACGTGTATATTCGAGGTGTAGTCCGTCTCCAGCTTCATGACGTGCGACGTGAAGCAGCAGTCGCCACACTCTTTGTTGGCGGCGGCGTTATCGACCGCGTCGTCATTCGGTGTCGTCTGCTGGTGTCGACGATAATAATGTCGGTGACTTGTCGCCCGTCCCGAGTCTAAAGGTACGTCGTTATCCTCTGGTTCAACGCCCACGATTAACATGTCGTCTCCCTCATGATTATCATTGTTGTTATTATAATTGTTATTATTATTACTGTGGTTATTATTATTATTACTATTAGCTCTGTCAAAATCCATGAAACGCCTCATAGAAGCCCTTCCATGTTCATCATCATCATCAAAGCCGTAATTAATCATTCGGTTATCACCAACTACAATACCACTATTATTATTACTATTATTGTTACTGTTATTATTGTTGTTCTTTTCAGCGTACCTATCTTCATAAACTTTGAGCATGGCTAACTGCTTCTGCCTAGATTTGAAAAACCTAGAGCCAGGAGCTGCTGTGGCCGATGTGGTCACTGTTTCTGATAACGATGACGTCGTTGTCGTACTTCCACTCTTGTACATTTCACTACTACTGCTGCAGTTATTACTACTTTTACTACTGTCGCCACGACCACTACCACTGCAAGCTTCATCTAGATCGACAGCCATAGCAGCTGACGATGTTGATGCCATTGCGCCATCTTCGGATATTTCAATAGCGAATGGCTTACTACTGACGCCACTACTGCTAATGTTATTACTACCTTTACTATTGCTGCTGCTACTAACATTTAAATTAGCAGCTATTAAAGACGACGACGACAATGAAGTCGTTGTAGCTCCGTTGTCACAGCCACACACTTCTCTGGCCACACGTTTACTGGCGACACCGTTTTCGTAACTAATATTACTAATATTATTTATACCACTACTATTGTTGCTCCTACAAATACTAACACTTAAACTGCATATATTATTAGTATAATAATTATAATAACTATTACTACCGAGTAGAGGTGATCTAGCTGTTCCCGTTTCAAATCGGTATATGTCGCTGGCAACTCGTTTACTGCAGCTACTACTACTAATAATACAACCACTACTACTATCACTACTACTACCACTACTACTACTACCTTTAACGCCGCTATAATTACCACTTAGATCTACAGACGATGAGGTTGATGTCGTTGTTGCAACTGGTCTTTCATAACCCCAACTTTTGCTAGCAATTCGCTTACAACGACTACAACTGCTACAGCCGTAGCTACAACTACCACCATTACCGACACCACTAGCAATACAATTACGACTACTACTGCTATTGATATGACCCGTATCAACTAAGCTACCACTTCCTCTTGTAACGTTAATACTGTTGTTATAAGAAGTACTGTTAGCATCACAACTACTTCTTTTGTAGTCAAGATGACTCATTACTACTCGTCCGTTACCATCATGGCTGTCACTGGCGCCATTATGTTCCTCAGAACTGTGAGCCAGTTGACGTGCCTCTGCCTCAGCTCTCTTCACCAGATGGCGACGCATTAACAACGCCAACGATGGTGGTATAATTGGATGGATGATGACGACGACGATGATGACGATGAGTGGATTAATGATGATGATGAGTAGATTAATGATGATGATGATGATAGGATTAATGATGATGGCGACTGGCTGAATAATATTGATGACGACGATGATGATGATGGGGTTGGTTGTGAAGTTGAACTGATAGGCTGCTGTGATGGGAGGGAAGAGGCCCGCGATGGTAGCAATGGCATTGGTGACCGTGCCAAATCTGGAAAACTCGGAAGTTCTAGTGGTGGAAAGATCGAGTCACGTGACGATGTTGCCAGTAGAGTTTGTGGTATGAACTGCGGAAGAAGATCTGCCAGAGGATGTGGTGACGGGTGATGGGGGAACGTGAGAAGAGGTAGCAAGGAGGATGATGCGGAAAATGACCGCGATGATGAGGATGGTGACGATGAATTCAGTGACAACGAAGAAGAAGAAGAAGAAGAAGAAGAAGAGGAAGGTGATGATAGTGGTGGTGATGAGTTTAGCGGTGGTGATGATGAAGACGGCTGCAGTGATGATGACGTCGGTGATGACGAGCGTGGCGAGGATACAGGGAACAACGACCGTGGAAACGTCGAAGGCGAGTAGATCGGCACCACTGCCAGCGCGCGATTCGAGAGTCCACCGCAATATATGCGATTGGCGATTTCGGATCGTGGATGAACACCAGGACTGGAAATCTCGAAAGACATCAACGGGCCACATATAATACTGCTCATGGACGAGTTAGTGGTGCTGGCGTTAGTCGAGCCATCAGGAGCATCAGTTTTGGCTAGAGGTGAACTTTTGTGGCAGTCGCACGAACATGAGCTGCCTCCTGTCTTTCTCTCTTTTGCCCGATCTTTTTTGAAGACGGAATGTGCATCTTTTCTGGCCGTCGATTCCAGCCATTTCCCAAGGATTATTATTTTGCCATCAACCTAATTAACGAATTTATTAAATTATTATTATTAATTATTAAATTATTATTAATAATTATTAAATTATTACTAATAGCCAGCCAACAACATCGTCATCTACGTAAAGTGTCATTTCTACGAGGAATCGTCATCATTACGACAATCGTCATCGTCGCCATCTCAACCAACCACGCAGGGCGTCTGGCCCCACATTTTCCTCGGAGCCAACTCCGGAAATCCCATTTTTAGTTCAGTCCAGTACCAATAAACACAACCGACGTCGTCCTCACGGCCAGCGACCTCTGCACTACATTCACCTCTGTAGTTGTCGCAGGCGCTATTAAAATTAGTGGTACGTCTCTTGTTTTCTTTCTTACCAAAACGGTAAACGCCGAGTTCGTCATCCGACATTGTTAGGAGCCAGCAGTCTAGGTAAGGCTACGAATAATAATGATAATAACAGCAATAGAAGACGCTATCAATTTGTAATCGTAATCGGGTGAAAAATAAAAAAGTTAATTGAGTTGTTTGGCGTTTCATGATGAAAAACAAAGAAAAATATATTTAAGGTTTAAAGATTTTAAGCTAGTGTGATGAGCTAACTCTTTTGCCATTTCCATATCCACCCATCATAAAGATGTGCTGGTCGTCAAGCCGTACCTGTCAATCAATCAACCAATCAATCAACCAATCAATCAATCAATCAACCAGCAAATAGATTAATCAATCAATCTGAACAACAACAAAACTACAAACGAATCAGTCGTCCAATCAATCAAGCAACTAGTCAACCAGCCAGCCGACGGACTAAACTAACCTGCACATGTCCAACTCTGGGGCTGGGTTTGTTGCCAGCCACTGGTACCATATACCAGGTACTGTTTTTCATATCCAATACCCAGATTTCGCTTTTTCTGTTTGTATGTGTGTGTGTGTGTATATGTGTGCGTGTGTTTATGTTAGACTGTGTGTATATGTGTGTGTGTATGTATGTGTGAGTGTACTGTATGTTCTGTTCAAGTCTATACAAATGTTTGTATGTATGTGTGCATCAAACAAAAAACAGTGAATAAATGCATCAAATTTAAAATCAGCAGCACGCGAACGGACACACACACATACAAACACAAAAGCATACACACAAACAGACGAATACACACATACACACACATACAAAAAAAAACCTTATATTGTAATCTTGTACCCCGAAACTAACAACCATCCTATCTTTAACAATCGTAGCTTGATGGCCTGCCCTACCGTTCGGCTCATTATTCGTCTTAACTACTTCCCACGTGCGTTCGACGGGGTCCAGTGTATACAGACCAGGAAAGTAGACGGACTATTTTTCAAAATTAGTATAAAATGATGACGTATGTGTTTCATCTTAACTACAATTTCACTCTTAAGCATGCAAAAAACTATGAGTTTGTGAATTTTTTTTTAACAAAAAAGCATTTTTTCTCACAAATACGAATCAAAATTTGAAAAAAAATATTATGATAGGAAACAAAAATACAAAAAATAAAGGAAAGAACATCGATTATTTTTCAAAATTAAAAAAAACTTAAGCCTACGCTATTTTCAACATAAATTTTCTTATAAAACAGTAATTTTTTCAATAAAATACCTAACAAAAAATATCTTGACACAAATTAGAAAAAAAATGTAGTCGTTTATTTTATTATTTACTTAATTAATAATTAAAATTATATTATTTATTCAATTATTAATTAAAATTATTCATTTAATAAAAATAATTTATTTGAGTTGACCCACATATTCAGATATGGTATGCAAAGAGTAGCTACATCCGCCATATAACACAAATTTACCATTATAAAGTATCAAGGTGGACCAGGATTTCGGCTGCGGGTATGTGCCTACAATACATAATTGAAATTAGGAAAATAATTATTTTTAAAATTATTTTTAACATTATGGATATGAATTTGTTTTTATGAATTAATTTTAATCATTCAGTCAGGCAGCAGTTCCTTCATTCGGTTATTTTTTCATTCATTCATTTTGAAACATCAAATTGAAAAATCTGTTTTGAATATTTTTATCACATTCCTATGCCACTATTTTTCAAATAATTATTTTGTAATGTATTGTTGATATAATGTAAAAAATTTTTATTACAATTTAAAAAAAAAACAAACAGAAATGCATCTAAATATCTACATATGATAACAACAACTTGCTAAATAATAATGTTAGTGTGAAATTAAATAAATAAGGAAAACAAATATAATTAATTTGAAGAAAATCAATTTTCATTTCTGTACAGAATAAACAACATTCACCTGACAACCTAAGTCTTTCCCAGTTATTTCTCACTAAGTCAAATTTCCAAGTGTCATTGAAGCAGGTGGTTAAAGCAGAACAGCCCCCAAACACATAAACAGCTTTGTCTTTTTTGTGATAGATGGCAGAATGTAGGAACCTGGGGGATATTGAACTATTTTTTGACCTAACACGAAGGTAAGACCAGACAAGCTCGCCATTTTCAATGGCTGTCATAAAATGTCTTTTGTTGGTTGTCAGACAGCCTAAGAAATAGTGATAATTTTCATAATTGATAATTTTTAATGTTCATTATAATATGTGAAACAATGAAATTTTTTGGTTCATTCATTGAAAATAATATAATAAACTATAATATACTACTACTAAGATTAATTGAACAAAAAAATTAATTAATAATTGAACAAAAAAATGGAAGCCCCTCCACTTACAAGTAGCAACCTCGGCCAGCCGATGGCACACTAATCTCAAATTAGGCAAATCACTGTACGGCGATAAATTAAAAAAAATTTGTTCGAGTATTTCATTTGGTAAACTTAAAAGTGATTTTTCACTATTATCTTTCAAATTTTCCATTTTTGAGTGAGAAATTTTGTAAAAGGCCGTTTAAAAATAAAAAACGCTAACAACTTCAATCAACTTTTAAACGGTAAGAAATAAATGTTTAAAAGTGAAACTTTAACCAAAAAGCAAATGTGCATATATGTGTGTATATATATAAAAGTGAATTTTAACATTAAATTTAAATGTCTAGAAACATCAAATTGTGGAATTTAAAAAATTGAGTAACGTTCGTAAAACATTCTCTGTTACCAAATTATTAAAAACTAATTAAATTTTCGATTTTCATCGAAAAAATATGAAAAATCAATAAGTAATGCAGCTGTATGTATGTATAAGAAATTTACATCAGCATATCTGAGCTGTCAGTACCCTCAAACCTGAATTTTTGGGGTGTCAAATTATCTTTTTTTTTTACTAATTTCATCAAAATTTTGTACAAAACATTGTTCATTTATTAAAATATAAATAAATTAATAATTTATATACTTTTTGAAGTAAAAAGTCATAAAATGCCCCCAAATGTGAGTGATCTAATTTATTTCTTTCTAAAAACTTTCATTTCATTTCTTGATTTTCTAATTATATAATTTTTATTTTATTAAACGTTCATTCTAGCGTTTGAAAGCCGCAAAATGTCCAACAGATGAGCTTTCATTAACTAACTGTGCTGTGGTCTCGGATAAGGATTTTGACGTCACCAAAATTAGGTAGGTGGGGTAGCAAGCAAAAGTTTTAAATTTTGATTATTTAATGTTTAATCTTTAATGATTAGTGACGATTAATGACAGGTGATTTTGTACTTCTGGCCATTTAGGCTCCTCTCAGTTTTATTATATAATTATTTCAATATATTTGCAACATAGAAAAGTCTTAGATGTTTTAATTAATTCAAATTCAAAATATTCATGCTAAATTTAATTTGAATTTTTAAACAAATGTCACCATTCTATTCAACTCTCTACATAAATAGAGATAATTACCTCATCTTAATTCAAATCTAAATGTTATATTATTAATTATAAAAAATTAATTATTGATGTAAAAATAAATTATTAATTTTCCTAATTTTCCAACTTGCAGGCATCTTGAGGTCATAACGGGACCCAACCACCACTATGTTTTCACGTTGAAATCCCACCCATCTGTTTCTCCTGAAACTATTGGATTCAGTGCTCCTCAGGTTGCACACGCACGCACACACAAACACAAAAACACACATGTGTACACTTGCATTCTTTCCACACACATAAATGCACACATAGAAATTAACCAAAACGTAAATAAAACACTCTATTATCTTCACAAATAAATTAAAAATGCATAAATATATTACATTTTTCTAAAGAGGAAATGGGCTGTCCTATCTCTCGGACAGATTGTTGATGTACGTCCCTATTTTTTTGACCCCAACAAAGATTTCATCAGTAGTATGGTGCTGGAGGTGGATTTCATAGCCAAGAAAAAGTTATTTTGCACTTGTTTGCAAGACAAATAAATAACTATTTACTCTTCCCTAATTTTTTATTTTCTCACTTTTATATTTACCCAAATGTTAGAATTTTAAAGGCTGATTCCCTAGTTATTTAACATCAAATACATTCTCAAATATATCTTTCTCTTTTACTATAATTCTTCTTATGCAATATTTCTTGCTTCATAATTCACTTATTTTCTAATTACACACTCACACACTATAATCATATATATATATGTACTTTTTCTTTCCCTAATTTTAGTACAACCACGGAGCCATACGACACGGACAAGATGGCGGCCGAGTTCGTCATGCAGTTTCCCCAGCAGGCGTTTACTGTCGGCCAGGAATTAGTGTTCAGTTTCATGGATAAAAAATTGTTGATAGCTAGAGTGAAAGAGATGGAAGGTTGCCTGCCCGTGTTTCATTTGTAGTAGTTCTTAGTTACATTACGATTTCATTAATAGAATAATTCATTCATGCATTCATTCGTTCGTTCGTTCGTTCATTCGTTCATTCATTCGTACGTTCATTCGTTCATTCATTCGTTCATTCATTCATTTATTCATTCGTTCGTTCGCTCGCTCGTTCATTTATTATTTATATATACATTAACCACAATTGTATGTCACCATTTAACTTTAATTAATCATAACTCCATTCCATAATTACCTCAAGCGCTGGATGTCAGGTCTGGCGGAAAGACATCAAAAGTGAGAGGCACACATACGCTTAATTAATAACGCACACACACACACACCCACACACACACACACACACACACAGATTTATGAATATTCCCTGTCAATTCGTGTCGTGAGAGGTGCTGTACAAATCAAACAATACAACACAATACAAATACACTATACTGTATACTATATTTATATACTAGTTTACCGAATTTCAAGCTTTTGAATGTTTATTAATTTATTAAAATTTTTAATTTTAATAGATTGTGTGATAAATATAAAACTACTGCTAGGAATATTGCAAAACTCAACCGTAAGCTTTCAAGAACTAAAAATTCGGTAGAATTTATCAAATGTTGCATCAATTATGGTCTCATTCCTGCATATATGTTTATATAAGTGTATACGTATGTACATAAATATATACATATATGTATTTATATATGTATATATTTATATTATATATATATATATATATATATATATATATGAATAGGTTCGTATTGGAGTGACTATGCCAAACACAATACTATGCTTCGATAAGGCCGATAATTCACCCGTCAATCTTATTGGAAAGTGCAAAGGGTAATGAAGACGATGATGATGATGATGTCGATGGTGATGGAATTATGATTTTCGTTGTTGATGTTGTTGTTGATGGTGATGATGATGATGACGGTGACAACAAGAGCAACAAAATCAACCATGACAACTTTTCATCATCATCTCCATAACAATCATCATCGTAATCATCACTTTCTTCCTTCTCACCAACCAATTAGAAAGCAGACCTACCAATCTATAATTAGCCCTGACTGGAATTTCGACAAAATGGGAATAGGCGGTCTGGATAAGGAGTTCTCCACTATTTTTAGACGGGCTTTCGCGTCGCGTGTCTTTCCACCGGAAGTCATCGAGCAGATCGGTCAGTCAGTTCATTTCCACTGTTATTATTATTATTATTATCGTTATTATTATTTATTATTATTATTTATTATTATTATTTAGTATTTATATCATATTAACCCTGCCCCCAAATGACTGACAACCACTAGGATTGAAGCACTGCAGGGGCGTTCTTCTGCACGGTCCACCTGGAACCGGAAAGACCCTCATGGCTAGACAGATTGGTTCGAACTAATTAGTAGATGAATAAATTAATTAATAATGAGTTGTTATTGTTGTATTGGTGTTTTTGATATGTAGGGAAAATGCTGAATGCTAGAGAACCAAAGATCATAAATGGACCGCAGATCCTCGATAAGTATGTTGGCGAGTCGGAAGCCAATATTAGGAAGTTGTTCGCCGAGGCCGAGGAGGAAGAAAAAAGGGTGCGTTCTATTTTTCATTCATTCGTTCGTTCATTCATCCATTCATTCATTGTCATTCGCTCATTCGTTCGTTCAATTAATCAGTCTTTCATTTATTCATTTATTTAATTAATAAACCATCTATTTATTCATTCATTCATTCATTCATTTTTTTATTCAATCAATCCACTAATCAGATGGGCATAAACAGCGGCCTGCACATAATAATCTTTGACGAGATAGACGCCATTTGCAAAGCTAGAGGCTCTGTGGCTGGGAGTACGGCAGTCCATGATACGGTCGTCAACCAACTGCTGTCCAAGATAGATGGCGTCGATCAGTTGAATAACATTCTCGTGATTGGTTGGTCGGTTGGTTCCGGTTGATTCTAATTGGTTGGTTGGTTCTGGTTGATTGGCTGGTTGAGTGGGGAGGGATTGTGATTGGTTGTTACTTAGCTGATTGGCTGATAAATGTCTTTGCATTTATTTGACTGGCTGTTTTTTTAATTAACTATTAGTTGAATCAATCAATCGACCAACCATTCAGTCAGACATTTAGTCAATCAATCAACCAACCAATCAACCAGCCAATCACACCATCTTCACAATAAACCACCCTCAAATATTCCAGGTATGACGAATAGAAAGGATATGATTGACGATGCCCTGTTGAGACCCGGCAGGCTTGAGGTACAGATGGAGATAGGTCGGTACATTCCTATTTTCATATTGGTACATCCCTATTTCTTCACTGGTGCACCCCTATTCTTATAAATTATTTTAATATTGGTATTTATCATCAACTTCTGTAAGCATTAGAATATTGTTCAAATACCCTGAATATTCGTTGACATGATTATAAAATTTAAATAATATAATTGAAATAATTAAAATAATCAAATGAATTAATTGGAATTCATTGAAAGAATTAAAATTGATTGAAAATTTATTAAAAAAAATAATAATCCAGGCCTACCTGACGAGAATGGCCGCCTGCAGATCTTAAACATCCACACGAAGAAATTGAAAGACAACAACAAATTGTCCGCCGATGTTTCACTCCAGGAACTGGCTTCAGTGACCAAAAATTTTAGCGGAGCCGAACTGGAGGGTCTTGTTAGAGCCGCAACTTCTACTGCTATGAACGGGCTGATTAAGGTTGGCTGGTCGGTTGGTTCTTTGGTTGGTTGGTTGGTTCTTTGGTTGGTTGGTTCTTTGGTTGGTTGGTTGAATGAATGAACGAATGAATGAGATATTCATCAGTGAATGAATGAAAGAATGATGGAATTCAGTTTACAAGAAGTATTATCAGCCGTCATAATTTTCAAATCAGGTGACCTCTGACGTGGAAATTGATCCGGAGGCCACGGACAAGTTGAAGATCACCATGGCCGATTTCAGAAATGCTCTCGCTAATGATATTAAACCTGTTAGCACTCTCTCTCTCTCTCTCTCTCTCTCTCTCTTTCTCTCTCTCTCTTTCTCCCATTTTCTTTCACTAATTATTTTCCCCCACCATTAGGCATTTGGTGTAAGTGAAGATGAGATCGGCACGTACATGAACCGCGGCATAATTAACTCTCTCTCTTTCTCTCTCTCTCTCTTTCTCTCTCTTTTTCTTTCTCTCTCTCTCTTTCTCTCTCTCTCTCTCTTTCTTTCTCCCATTTTCTTTCACTAATTATTTTCCCCCACCATTAGGCATTTGGTGTAAGTGAAGATGAGATCGGCACGTACATGAACCGCGGCATAATTAACTGGGGTGACCCAGTTAACAGGGTCCTTCAGGACGGTGACCTACTTGTCAATCAGGTCAGGACCAGTGAACTGACCCAAATATTAACTGTTCTGCTGGAGGGTAAGCGTAATTTTTAAAAGATGCCATTCATTCGTTTATTTAATTTATATTTCTATTCCTTTTAGTCTATTGAATTGCTCATACGTTCATTCATTTATCTATCCATTCATTCATTCGTTTATTCATCTAATTGTTAACAGCCCGTTCATTATCATAATCATGGATCTCATTGTCATAATTTATTCAGGTCCGCCGGGCTGTGGTAAAACCGCCCTAGCTGCCCAGATAGCTCTGAAATCGGATTTCCCATTTCTAAAAATAATCTCTCCTGAGAATATGATCGGTCATCTTGAATCAGCTAGGGTGCAAGCCATCAAGAAGGTTTCACTTTCGATTTCATTTTATGAATACTATTATTACTACTACTACTACCACTACTGCTGCTACTACTACTACTACCAATACCACCACTACTCTACTGCTATTATGACCATCATCACTATTAAAACTCACCACCGGCACCGTAACAATCATTATCACAACTTAGGTCTTCGACGATGCCTACAAATCGCCATTGAGTTGCATCATATTGGACGATATAGAGGGCCTCCTGGACTATGTGGCAATCGGGCCGAGATTTTCCAACTTAGTGTTTCAGGCCCTTCGAGTCCTGCTAAGGAAGTTACCGCCACCTGTCGGCTTTAATTTATTATTATTATTTATTATTATTAATTATTAATATGTTATGGTGTAATTGAATAAGATAATTTAATCGTTGTTTTGGGGTTATGAGTAATATTGCGGAAATTGAACCATAGTCTGTTGAATACTTTACTATATGTTATTTATCATATCGTCATTCATATAATTATTCATAATAATTATAAATAATAATTTTCAGTCATAATTATAGTTTATAATTATTATCCTTCGTGATTCCAACCATAGGGAAGGAGGTTGTTGGTGATCTGCACGACTGGCTGTAAGGACTTGCTGCAAGAGATGCAACTTCTTAGCGTCTTTAGAAAGGTTTATTATTATTATTTATTCATTTATTATTATTATTTATTTATTTATTAATATTATTTATTTATGTATTATTATTATTTGTTATCGTTAATTGAATCAAGCTTCCTAGTGCTTGTCTGTAATTCTTCATTATTACGTCATCAGGTCTTGCACGTTTCCAACCTATCAACGTCCAATCATCTGGTCACGTGTCTCGAGGAGCTGAACCTCTTCACGGCCAAGGAACTAGACGTCATCAGCAGAATGACCGACAGTAAGAAGTAAGCAGGCTGACTAATTTGCATAATTTTGCATAATTTATTCATTGAAATCCGAATTAGGCAGCTGAATTGTTATCCCAATTTGTCAATTTTCTTAAAAAGCGAGCTCAGATCATCATTCATCACGCTAACAATTAAGTTATTAGATTGTAAAAGCTGTGTTGATTGGTTAACATGATTTATGCCATGGATTACGTTAATTAACATAATTTATTAATGAGTTAACTAATTAATTGTAATTATTTTCTATTTATTTATTTATTATTAATATTTTCCTTGAAAAAGGGTTTGGATTGGGATCAAGACGCTGCTTGATTTTGCTGAAATGATTAGAAAGGTCTTTCAATTATTTTAATCATTCATTCCTTCATTCATTCATCCATTTATTCTTTCAATAACTAATTTATTCATCTCATCGTTCGTTAATTCATTCGTTCATTAATTTAATGATTCTAAATAATTTAATTTATACATTCATGCATTATGCATTCATTCATTTCATCGTGCATTCATCTGTTACTACATTCACTCATTCAGTTATTTATTTATTCATTCCGTTGTTCATTCATTCATTCACTAACTCATTTATTTCTTTATTCTTTCAATCAGGTTGAGGATGAGTATCGCATCACAAAGTTCATTTCAATTCTCGAAGATGAAGGTTCTTTACAGATGTGATGGAATTAAAGAAGAATGAAGAGAAAGAGATAGAGAGAAGGAGAGAGTGAAAGAGGAGAGAGAGAAAATTAATGTATATTCGTGTATATTTTACAGAAACAAAATTAAATGTTGTCGTTGCTGTTG